GTGTGGACTGGACCAGCAAAGTGCGATGCTTAGGGTGAGGATAGAGGAGGCTGTTACTAAATGCCAGTGCGGGCGTGAGTTAGCGAGACACATCCATCGCAAAAATGTTGGGGGTGTTGTGAATGGGGTGGTCCATCGGACCACTTTTCTCGATGGTTTCCCATCGTTGTAAGTTGCTGTATATAACCTGTGCCTGCGTTTGGGGGCAACGTGGCAATTTTGGTACCACGATCAACCCTGTTTTGCCCATTCTGCGTGCAATAAAATGTATCTGGCTGCTTCCAGGAATGTGCGATCGTTTGATCCACGGACAAGATTCCAAGCGATTTGTTAAACGGTTTAGATCATGCCTCTGATTGATACCGCTTCTCGCGTCGCACTTCGTGCCGCATTTGTTTCGAAGAGTTGGATGCTCGATGTTTCTTCATTGTTTTTAGACGTTCGATGTATCGAGGATCTACGGCTCAAATGTTCTGGTCGCTGTGGGATTTCCAACGTGGCCCTTTTCTGGAGGGATTCGTTACGTGCCTCTGGTTCATCCCGGTTTATGGGCAGCGCGAAAGTTCTGACTTTGTCTGAACGGCTACTGGCGATATTTCTGTGGGGGTAACGCGAAAAGAGTTTCGTCAACACGCGCTTGCGAAAGAATTCTGGTAATGTTGGCGACCGAGTTTCTGCACAGGACCTGTAAACTAAATCGCCAGGCATGGCAACTGTGTTTGTTGCCTATTTATGAATGTTACAGCAGTGACTGCAGATTCCTATAACAGAATTGGTAGGATAACTGAGTCCAAATTGCAACTCCAAACTTAATAATCAATCGCTTAAAATCTAGCATATGATCGAATTAGGCTAACCCTGCATCCCTTATTACAGACCATATGCAACAACATGGGGAAGAGCGCTTGATTAGATTTGTCTACGTATATTTATTGGATAAGAGCGAGTGATCTGATTCATTTGTAAGTTTTTTGGGATTACACGTGATAATTTAGGTTTGTTTTTTAATACCAGGGTATGTTTCAAACTCCTCTGTAACTACGAGCAATGTTGCAACAATAGTCTCCAAAAAGAAGATGTGTTGTGAACATTATTGTCTAGTTGTCGACTACAAAAGAGCGAGCGACATGATTCATATGAATGCTGCTTTTTTATTACGTGTTGGTTGTTGTCGTCGTCGTCGCTGCTGCTGTTGTCGCTGATGTCGTTGTCGTCCTTGTTGGCGTCGTCGGTTTCGTTGTCGTCGTCGTCGTCGCCGTCGTGTCGCTGTCGCGTTGTCGTTGTGGTTGTCCTAGCGGTCGTCGTCGCCGTCATCGTCATCGTCGTCGGCGTGGTCGTCGTCGTTGTTGTTTTCGTTATTGACGTTGTTCTTGTCGCCATTCTTGTCGTCGTCGTTCTTGTCGTCGTCGTTGCCGTCGTTGTTGCTGTCGTTGTTGTTGTCGTTGTTGCTGGCGTTGCTGTTGTTGTCGCTGTTGTTGTTGTTGCTGTCGTTGCTGTTGTTGCTGTTGTGATTGTTGCTGTCGTTGCTGATGTCGTTGCTGTTGTCGTCGTTGCTATCGTCGTTATTGTCGGTCGTGGTCGTGGTTAATGTCGTGGTTTTCGTCGTGGTCGTCGTCGTTATCGTCGTCGTTGTTGTCAACGTTGTTGTCGTCGTCGTTTTTGTCGTCGTCGTTGCCGTCGTCGTTGCTGTCGTTGTTGTTGTCGTTGTTGCTGGCGTTGTTGCTGGCGTTGCTGTTGTTGTCGCTGTTGTTGCTGTTGCTGTCGTTGCTGTTGTTGCTGTTGTGGTTGTTGCTGTCATTACTGCTGTCGTTGCTGTTGTCGTCGTTGCTATCGTCGTTATTGTCGGTCGTGGTCGTGGTTAATGTCGTGGTTGTCGTCGTGGTCGTCGTCGTTATCATCGTCGTTGTTGTCGACGTTGTTGTCGTCGTCGTTGTTGCTGTCGTTGTTGCCGTCGATGTTGCAGTGGTTGTTGCAGTCGGTGTTGTCGTCGGTGCTGTCGTGTCATTGCTGTCGACGTGGTTGTTCTCGTCGTTGCTGTCGTCGTGGTGGTTGTTGTTGTCGTGGTTGTTGTTGTTGTTGTTGTTGTTGTTGTTGTTGTTGTTGTTGTTGTTGTTGTTGCTGTTGCTGTTGCTGTTGCTGTTGCTGTTGCTGTTGCTGTTGTTGTTGTTGTTGTTGTTGTTGTTGTTGTGGTTGTTGTTGTGGTTGTGGTCGTGGTCGTGGTCGTGGTCGTGGTCGTGGTCGTCGTCGTCGTCGTCGTCGTCGCTGTCGTCGCTGTCGTCGCTGTCGCTGCTGCTGCTGCTGCTGCTGCTGCTGCTGCTGCTGCTGCTGCTGCTGCTGCTGCTGCTGCTGCTGCTGCTGCTGCTGCTGCTGCTGCTGCTGCTGCTGCTGCTGCTGCTGCTGCTGCTGCTGCTGTTGCTGTTGCTGTTGCTGTTGCTGTTGCTGTTGCTGTTGCTGTTGCTGTTGCTGTTGCTGTTGCTGTTGTTGTTGCTGTTGTTGTTGCTGTTGTTGCTGTTGTTGTTGTTGTTGTTGTTGTTGTTGTTGTTGTTGTTGTTGTTGTTGTTGTTGTTGTTGTTGTTGTTGTTGTTGTTGTTGTTGTTGTTGTTGTTGTTGTTGTTGTTGTTGTTGTTGTTGTTGTTGTTGTTGTGGTTGTCGTTGTCGTTGTCGTTGTCATTGTCGTTGTCGTTGTCGTTGTCGTTGTGGTGGTCGTAGTAGTAGTGATAGTAGTAGTAGTGATAGTAGTAGTAGTAGTAGTAGTAGTAGTAGTAGTAGTAGTAGTAGTAGTAGTAGTAGTAGTAGTAGTAGTAGTAGTAGTAATAGTAGTAGTAATAGTAGTACTAATAGTAGTAGTAGTTGTAGTAGTAGTACTACTACTACTACTACTAGTAGTAGTAGTAGTAGTAGTAGTAGTAGTAGTAGTAGTAGTAGTAGTAGTAGTAGTAGTAGTAGTAGTAGTAGTAGGAGCAGTAGTAGGAGCAGTAATAGGAGCAGTAATAGGAGTAGGAGCAGGAGTAGGAGTAGGAGTAGGAGTTGGAGTAGGAGTAGGAGTAGGAGTAGGAGTAGGAGTAGGAGTAGGAGTAGGAGTAGGAGTAGGAGTAGGAGTAGTAGTAGTTGCTGCAAATTTGATTGATGAGGCTAAGATATATTTAGTGACAAGAAGTAAGGATTTTCTGGTATACATTTCGACTGTTGAGTTGTTGGGTTTCCCGCTAAACGAATCTGAATGCGTCAGAAAAGACGACGAAGTCTCCCATTGGACGATAACCCTCACGGATGATCTTCACACATCTTGAAAACGGTTTCAACGAATGAAATGTCTCTCTGCTGCTGATGTGGCGAATGGGATCGAAAAGATTCCCATCAACTTTTCGTGTCGCACCCAGCATGCTGTAGGTTGTGGTTTCCTGGGGCGTGCTAGGCACCACACACCAGAACCAGTCTTCGAGTCGCGCGATTTGTGATTCCAGAAGAAGCTGTCAAGTGCCTGTGATTGAGCAGCAGCTCAATCCCAGCCAATCCCAAGCCATCGAGAGCCACCCTCGTTTGCACGCAATCTCTCCCTCCACCTTCGGCACATTCCAAACAAGCAACCCACCCACCTCGCCCAACCACCTCATGCTCAAAGAATCGACTTATTGCACGTCTCTCCACTTTTGTTCTCGCCATTTCTCTTCTCACCGTTTCTCTTCTCAATGCTCACTTAGCTTTTCAGTTCCTATTATTCCTGCCGCCCGTCTCTTAGTTGCCTGTCAGAATACTTAAGTTGATTGTTCGTCCTAGTTACCGTTCACAGCTCGAACACTACCTGGCCGACTCGGGTCTAATGCCCACTTTCTGTCGCAGAGCTTCTTATCGTTTTTTCTGTCGCCTTTTATGAATTTATGGCGTACTTACGCTGTGTGTAAGACATATTCCGACGTGTGTCTTTTGTCGCCTTTTCTGTATTTCTGGCAGTTCTAATCCCACGCTGTCTTTCGAAGAGTTTCTCATGTTCGTGTGTTTTATCGCCCTTCATGCTTATGCTGCAATTCTAATCTCATTGGTTGATTCGTGTGGCAGGTGTTGCGTTTGTAAGTTTGTTTTAATGTTCGCAGGTCCTGCATGTATCTGGCGCTATTTTTTACAAGTCGATGGCATCACACAGTTACCAGCACGCTATGTAAGTGTTGTTTTATGTTACAAGCACTTATTTCCGTGGCATTGTTTCTTGTGTAGGTGGATCTGTTTCATGACTGAAATACCGGACCTGCTGTCTTCCTACTAGCTTATGTAGCTGTGTATCATGTGTAGATCAGTATATGGATCTGTCAAATGTATTTACTTTGTTTAATGAAATATCCACTAATACAACCATGTTCAGAACATATAAATAAGGCACGAAATAAGAGCAATTGTAAATACTCTTCTTATCAAGCTCCTGCCGGTTTTGTCATTTTATACGCTGTCAATACATTGAAATTTATAGTCCTCAAATTAAGGGCCATTAATGCGCCTGCCCTTAAGTTACATTTATAGGCAGTCGATTCATGCATATACACAGTCCTCGAATACACGACCATACTGGCCATGTACGACAATGTAGAACGGGCCATGAATGGCTGTTCTAGTCAATGTACAGCCGGGCAATTCACGGGCCCCAAACGCCTACGAACCAACCTGCGTACAGCCGGCCAATTTAAGGCCATAAACCCGCCATATTCATGGCGATTATGGCCTTAAATTGCCATTTTTAAGACCCACATTTTTGAGATGTCGAGGCCTGAACTGGCGATTTATTCAGAGAGTCTAAAAGTATAGGCTAATACACAAACACTCGACCACGCTCGCTTTCCATAGGTCACAGGGCGGACGTATCCATCGTCTGCAATGCGTAGCCATCTTACGCCGCGCGTCGGAGCCGATTAGAAACAAACGCGCTAGAGACAGCCTCAGCATCTTGCCTCCCGCCCTGCCCGGGAAATCCCCTCCCCGCCATTTGGTCGCGCCTGCCTTTCACATATCGCATGGTGAGAAGCTTCCCGTCGCCCTCATTCCATCTTCCCGTCGCCCTCATTCCATCTTCCCGTCGCCCTCATTCCATCTTCCCGTCGCCCTCATTCCATCTTCCCGTCGCCCTCATTCCATCTTCCCGTCGCCCTCATTCCATCTTCCCGTCGCCCTCATTCCATCTTCCCGTCGCCCTCATTCCATCTTCCCGTCGCCCTCATTCCATCTTCCCGTCGCCCTCATTCCATCTTCCCGTCGCCCTCATTCCATCTTCCCGTCGCCCTCATTCCATCTTCCCGTCGCCCTCATTCCATCTTCCCGTCGCCCTCATTCCATCTTCACGTCGCCCTCATTCCATCTTCCCGTCGCCCTCATTCCATCTTCCCGTCGCCCTCATTCCATCTTCCCGTCGCCCTCATTCCATCTTCCCGTCGCCCTCATTCCATCTTCCCGTCGCCCTCATTCCATCTTCCCGTCGCCCTCATTCCATCTTCCCGTCGCCCTCATTCCATCTTCCCGTCGCCCTCATTTCCCGTCCCGTCGCCCTCGTTTCCCTTCCCGTCGCCCTCATTTCCCTTCCCGACGCCCCCATTTCCCTTCCCGTCGCCCTCAATTCCCTTCCCGTCGCACTCATTTCCCGACCCGGCGCACTTATTTCCGCCGTCACCCTCATTTCCCGTCCCGTCGCCCTCATTTCCCTTCCCGTCGCACTCATTTCCCTTCCCGTCGCCCTCATTTCCCTTCCCGTCACCCCCCATTACCCTTCCCGTCGCAAACATTACCCTTCCCGTCGCCCTCATTTCCCTTCCCGTCGCACTCATTTCCCTCGAGTCCTCCCTCCCCCTCATCCGCCCTTCCTCCACCTCTGCATCCTCTCATCCTCCCTTCATCTCATCCTCCCTTCCTCTTATCCGCCCTTCCTCTCATCCTCCTTTCCTCTCATCCACCCTTCCTCTCATCCTCCCTTCTCTCATCCTGTCTCCCTCTCATCCTCTCTCCCTCTCATCCGCCCTGCGTCTCGACCTTCCTTCCTCTCGTCCTCCCTCCCCGTCTTCCGCCCTCCCCCTCATCCGCCCTCCCTCTCATCCTCCCTTTGTTGGTGCAACCCTACGGTTTGCACTCGGCTTGTTGTCCGTGTGCGTGAATGTGTGTGTGTATGGAATGGTATGAGGGCATGGGATAATATATATTTCATGCTTATAATTGTGTGTGAATGTTGAGTCATGATGTCGAGTGTGTGTGTCGAGTCAATAGTGAGTTATCGCTAGACGCGTGTTACGCGGTCGTTTGTGTCTCGCGCGCGGTTTCTATTTTGTCGTGCGCGGTTTCTATTTTGTCCTGTGTCGAACGTTCGGCGTGTCGCAGGTGTGTGCGGCAGACCCATCAAGAACTCAAGGATGAGTTTGTGATGAAGAGCCCGAGCCTTGGTGTCAAGCCTCAAGTGATTTCGAAGCTTGCCAAAAGGGTACACCTCAAGATATTGAAGATAGTTACATTACTTTGTGTAGTGTAACATTTCACTTGGTGTAGGCCCTAGTGAAGGGTAGTTTCGAGACCCTTCGTGGTTGGGGACAGTGTGGCACTGTTCCACATCACTGTACCTCGGCTCTTGGGGTTTGTAGGAGCTGGGAGTCATTCCCAACTCGTAACTCTTCCTATCTTGTGTTCTAAGACTATAGTGGCTGCCATAGTACCGTTCGTTCAAACCGACGCTGTGTCGTCAATTCTTTATCAAATCGTGCAATCTAAATTGCTAATTGTAGAAGACGTGAAGACGCTCCAGATCCAATTTGAATCAAGTCATTTGCAGCTGTGAGCAGAACGCTATCAACGTTTGAAGCCGCTGTGCAGAAATCCGTCTGTGCTCTCTATCTTTCGTTTTAGGCACATTCAAGCCTATTGTGACTATAACAAGTGGTATCAGAGCCCCTTGGAGCAGTTTCGACAATGTCTGGACCTGAGGAAAGGGGTGGCAGAGGTGCTGGTGGCAGTGGAGAAGCTCAAGCTCAAGGCCAACCCCGTGATTCAGCCATGGCGCCCATGCAACCAAGTCTTGGCCCACCTAGGGATGAGCCTAGGGTGTTTGGGCTTGACAAGTTCAACGGTGACAACTTTGCTGAATGGTCCTTCAAGATGGAGAACATCTTTGACCACTATGACCTGCTGGAGGTGATGGAAGGAACGGAGAAGCGCCCCGAGAACGACCCGGAGAAGAGCCCGTGGGTGCGGAAGAGCGCACAAGGCTATCTCTTACTTGGGCAAGCGTTGGGGAGCAGTCAGATCCGTCACATCAAGCCATTCCAGCGTGAACCAGAGAAAGGACCAAAGGCATGGGCTGCTCTCAAGGGTGTACATGCTCCTGCAACAGCGGCGGTAGCGGTGGTGTTGGAACGGCAAATGGCGGCACTTCGAATTGAAGAAGACGAAGCGGTTGAAGAAGGGGTGCAGAAATTCTTCGACTTGTTGACGCGGCTTGAGGGAGCTGATTTGAACTACAGTGAGCTCCAAAAGAAGACCAAGTTGCTGGCCTTACTCCCAGAGTCATGGTCCTCGCTCATCATCAACCTTAATCGCGACTTGCCCCGCCTCTCGCTTGAAGACGTGAAGCGAGCTATCCTTCAAGAGGATTTCCGCCGCCGGGGCAGCGAGCATCGGCCGTGGATATGGTCGAGGAAGAGGCAGAGGACGAGGGGGAGGAAGGTTTGGTGGCAGCAACTTCGGCGGAGGCCGCAGGAGTGGCGGTTACGGCAGCGACGACAAGAGCTACGGACGCGGTCGCGGCCGATTCGACGGCGAGTGTCACTATTGCCACAAGAGCGGACACATGTGGCGCGACTGCTACAAACTCCCTGATGGTTGGACCCCTGCTCAAGGCCAAGAGGGTAGAGAAGCAGGAGGAGGGAGAGGACGAGGCCGTGGAGGCCGTGGCGGTCGCGGTGGCGGAGCTGCAAACATGAAGAGCGGAAACAACGACAAGGACCCGAGCAACGATCGATACCCGGGTCTATTCTACTTCGTGTCGACGCAAGTACCGGCTGGTCCAGAGAAGGATGAAGGCTTTGAGGAGCCAGCAGCTGTGGGGAAGGTGACCCTACACCCCCTGGACTATTGGGTGATTGATAGTGGCGCTACCTATAGCATGACACCTCGCCCGGACTTGCTCACCGAACTCGAGCCGTCACCGGTGAAGCATGTCACATCGGCTTTGGGGCAGCGAGCAGAGGTGAAAGGCATGGGCAAGGCCATGTTCAAGGGTGCTGATGGGAAGATGGTGGGCCTCAAGAACGTGCTTTGGGTGCCCAGCCTTGCTGCAAACCTGATTTCCGTGCGGGCGGTTGGCAAAGGCCGGCATGGACACGAACTCGAAGGGAGCCAAGACCTACACCGCAAGGCTTGGCGATCGAATTCTTTGGGACCCTCATGAGGACAGGGATGTCTACAACGAGATGTGGCAGATCCCAGTGGTCCCTATGCCTAAGGAGAGGCAAGTGGCAGCAAGCATCAGCACCAAGGATGGAGCGGTCGGTAGCGACGATGGCGCGAACGGTCGCGCTAAGGAGAATGAGCTCAAGAAGAGCAAACCTGGAGGGACCAGCAAGTTCAGTGAACCTAAGGAGAGTGGTGCAGCAACCAAGGAGCAGCAAAAGGGTGAGGAGAACCCAGAGGCAGCAGCGGAGGAGGACTACGGAGAGAGTATGTGGGGCGCTATTGCGAGCGCGGCATTCTCCAATCCAACTTCGGCTACGGGGGAGTGTGATTGGCTCACCTTGCATCGGCGCATGGGGCATGTGGCCCTGCCCATCTTGCAGCAGCTAGTGAAGAATGAGATGGTTGCTGGCATACGTGTGAAGGGGGAGCCCGATGAGGTGCTTGGCTGCCCGACGTGCATTCAAGCCAAGTTCACCCGGTTTCCGTTCCCTAGTTCGGAGGCAACGGCAAAGGCACCGCTTGATGAGGTGGTGATGGACGTGGTGGGCCCCCTGAAGCTTGGAGCTGCTGGAGCTGAGTATTTTCTCACCATTGTCGACGTCTACACCCGCATGACTTGGGTGTACGTGCTGGCCAAGAAGAGCGACGTGGCTGAAACGTTGAAGACGGATTGGTTCCCGATGGTGGAGCGGCAACAAGACCGTCTAGTCAAGTCAATCCGCACCGATCGAGGGGGAGAGTTCCTGAGCAAGGAGTTTGGGTTGTGGCTGAAGAAGAATGGTATTCGGCACTCCCTCACCATGCCATACTCCCCTGCAATGAACGGCATCGCCGAGCGAGCGAACCGCACAATCACGGAGGCGGCACGCGGGTTGCTCATTGAAGCCGGGCTACCCGACTATTTCTGGCCTGATGCGGTGCGGAGCGCGTGTGTGGCCAAGAACAGAGCCTTGACTCATATGGGAGCAGACAAATGGGTGCCCTATGTGGAGTGGCTAGGAAGGAAGCCAAAGGTGGATATGCTTCGGGTGTTCGGGTGCATGTGCATGGCGCTCGTGCCTAAGCATCTTCGGCACAACAAGCTTGGTGCCAAGGCGGTGTGGGCCGTGCACTTGGGCATGGCTCAAAACAGCAAGGGATGGCTTCTTTGGGACCCATTCACCAAGAAGTTCTTGGTGAGCAGGGACTGCAAGTTCATGGAGAACTTCATGTACAAGGATTGGAAGGCGGAGAATGAGGCGAAGATAGGCGTGCGGTTTGGGGAGGTGAAGAGTTCTGGTTTGGAGCATGTGGAGCTGCCTTTCGAGCTGAGCAGCGGCAGCACAACCACAAGGCAATCCTCCCTTGTGAATGGGGGAGAGGAGGCCAATGATGCAGAGGAAGAAGAGGAGGAGGTGCAGCAAGTGAGCGAGCGTGCACCGTCACTCCCTTCCCGTACTACGAGTGCTCCACGGATTCGAGCCACACCGCAGCAACGCCAAGGCCTTCAATTCCCTGCAGCTGAGGAGGAAGGAAGGGGGAAGAGGAGAGTTCAACCCCCTAATAGGCTGACCTATGATGCGCCGGGAAAGCAGGGCAAGACAGCCCTGGCCGGAGCGGCAATGATGGTCGGAGACGACGAGGAGAGTGACTACGAGGAGTGTGCCTTCGCGTTCTTCTCTCCGGTGGAGATGCCGGGAGAACCAGCAACTCTCAAGGAGGCTTGGGAGAGTAGTGATGCTGAGGAGTGGAAGAAGGCCATGGAGAGTGAGCTGAAGAGCATCGAGGAGAATGACACGTTTGAATTGGTGGAGCTACCGGAGGGGCGTACGGCGATAACGTCCAAGTGGCTCTTCAAAATCAAGTCGGATGCCGACGGCAAGATCGAGCGCTACAAGTCTAGGCTTGTAGCCAAGGGGTACCAGCAGAAGGAGAAGGTGGACTTCAAGGAGCTGTTTGCCCCTGTGGTGAAGCCGACGACGCTGCGAACCCTATTCGCGGGAGCCGCCATCAAAGGATGGGTAGTAAAGCAAATGGACATCGTAACGGCATTCCTTAACGGCATCCTTGAGGAGGAGATTTTTATGGCGCAGCAAGAGGGGTTTGATGATGGTAGTGGCAGAGTGTGGAAGCTGAAGAAGGCCCTCTATGGGCTGAAGCAGGCCCCTAGGCAATGGTACATGAAGCTGCGCGAAGTATTGGAGGGGATCGGCTTCACTCCCTCAACAGCCGATCACTCCTTGTTCATGCTTGGCGAGGGGGAGCAGAGGAGTTTCATGGTGGTTTATGTGGATGACATCCTCATTTTCTCACCCTCTTCTGACCTTGTGAAGGAGGTGATGCTGAAGCTTCAAGACAAGTTCAAGTGCAAGGCCCTTGGTGACGTGAGCTTCTACCTTGGGCTCCACATCGAACGAGATGTGGAGAAGCGGTGCATGCGGGTGCATCAACGAAAGTACCTGGAGGCATTGGCTGCCAACTTTGGGCAGAGTGAAGGCCATGTGGCTACACCCTTTCCCTCTGGGTTCAAGTGTGTGAAGGGACCAGAGGAGGAGAGCGTTGGTGAAGAGGAGAGGCGCCGATTTCACTCGTTGGTGGGCAGCCTCATGTATGCGGCGGTAAACACCCGACCGGACGTCGCGTTTGCTACCGGGCAGCTGGCTAGGGTTGTGCAATGCCCTAATGAGGAGCAGGTAGCAGCTGGAATGAGGGTGGCCAAGTATCTTGGCCAAACACCGACCGTTGGGCTGCAATACTCGGCGGCGGCACAAAGGCGCCAAAAGGGCGCGGATGGTGTTGAACCTGGGCGTTTGTTCCTCACAGCCTACTCGGATGCTTCATATGCATCAGAACCAGAGGACATGACAAGTGTGGGAGGCTTCATATGCTGTGTTGGTGGAGGCCCAACTGCTTGGGAGAGCAAGAAGCAGGTTGACCAAGCTTTGAGCTCGGTGGAGTCCGAGTACATGGCACTCTTCCGTGCCGTACGGGAGATTGTGTGGCAGCGGCGTTTGTTGGCTGAATTGGGGGAGGAGCAGCAAGGACCTACCCCACTGTACTGTGACAGCCAGGGTGCCATTGCTCTTGCTAAGAACCCTGTGTTGCATGGACTCACGAAGCACATGAGGGTGAAGTGGCATTGGACGAGGAGCATGGTAACCGCGGGTGAAGTTGAGTTGCGCTACGTGAAGACCACGGGGCAGCCGGCTGACATGATGACCAAGAGGCTGGTGGAGCAGCAGCATTGGAAGTGTTGCAAGCTGGCTGGGATGGCTCTGAACTGAGAGAGCAACATATCCTAAGGCCAACAATCCGAGGGGGAGTTTGTTGGTGCAAACCTACGGTTTGCACTCGGCTTGTTGTCCGTGTGCGTGAATGTGTGTGTGTATGGAATGGTATGAGGGCATGGTATATATTTCATGCTTATAATTGTGTGTGAATGTTGAGTCATGATGTCGAGTGTGTGTGTCGAGTCAATAGCGAGTTATCGCTAGACGCGTGTTACGCGGTCGTTTGTGTCTCGCGCGCGGTTTCTATTTTGTCGTGCGCGGTTTCTATTTTGTCCTGTGTCGAACGTTCGGCGTGTCGCAGGTGTGTGCAGCAGACCCATCAAGAACTCAAGGATGAGTTTGTGATGAAGAGCCCGAGCCTTGGTGTCAAGCCTCGAGTGATTTCGAAGCTTGCCAAAAGGGTACACCTCAAGATATTGAAGATAGTTACATTACTTTGTGTAGTGTAACATTTCACTTGGTGTAGGCCCTAGTGAAGGGTAGTTTCGAGACCCTTCGTGGTTGGGGACAGTGTGGCACTGTTCCACATCACTGTACCTCGGCTCTTGGGGTTTGTAGGAGCTGGGAGTCATTCCCAACTCGTAACTCTTCCTATCTTGTGTTCTAAGACTATAGTGGCTGCCATAGTACCGTTCGTTCAAACCGACGCTGTGTCGTCAATTCTTTATCAAATCGTGCAATATAAATTGCTAATTGTAGAATACGTGAAGACGCTCCAGATCCAATTTGAATCAGGTCATTTGCAGCTGTGAGCAGAACGCTATCAACGTTTGAAGCCGCTGTGCAGAAATCCGTCTGTGCTCTCTATCTTTCGTTTTAGGCACATTCAAGCCTATTGTGACTATAACACCCTTCATCTCATCCTCCCTTCCTCTTATCCGCCCTTCCTCTCATCCTCCTTTCCTCTCATCCTCCCGCCCTCTCATCCGCCCTTCTCTCATCCTCTCGCCCTCTCATCCGCCCTCCCTCTCATCCTCCCTTCATCTCATCCTCCCTTCATCTCATCCACCCATACTCTCATCCTCCCTTCCTCTCATCCTCCCTTCCTCTCATCCTCCTCTCCTCTCATCCTACCCTTCCTCACATCCTCTCTTCCTCTCATCCTCCCTTCCTCTCATCCGCCCTTCTCTCTCTCATCCTCCCGCCCTCTCATCCGCCCTTCTCTCAAGGGCTCGCCCTCTCATCCTCTCTCCCTCTCATCCTCTCTCCATCTCATCCTCCCTTCATGAAATCCACCCATCCTCTCATCCTCTCTTCCTCTCATCCTCCCTTCCTCTCATCCTCCTCTCCTCTCATCCTCTCTCCCTCTCATCCGCCCTCCCTCTCATCCTCCCTTCATCTCATCCTCCTTTCCTCTCATCCTCCCTTCCTCTCATCCGCCCTTCTCTCTCTCATCCTCTCTACCTCTCATCCTCCCGCCCTCTCATCCGCCCTTCCTCTCGTCCTCCCTTCCTCTCGTCCTCTCCCCCCTTCTTCCGCCCTCCCCCTCATCCGCCCTTCCTCACATCCTCTCTTCCTCTCATCCTCCCAACCTCTCATCCGCCCTTCTCTCTCTCATCCTCCCGCCCTCTCATCCGCCCTTCTCTCATCCTCTCGCCCTCTCATCCGCCCATCCTCTCATCCTCCCTTCATCTCATCCTCCCTTCATCTCATCCACCCATCCTCTCATCCTCCCTTCCTCTCATCCTCCCTTCCTCTCATCCTCCTCTCCTCTCATCCTACCCTTCCTCACATCCTCTCTTCCTCTCATCCTCCCTTCCTCTCATCCGCCCTTCTCTCTCTCATCCTCCCGCCCTCTCATCCGCCCTTCTCTCATCCTCTTGCCCTCTCATCCGCCCATCCTCTCATCCTCCCTTCATCTTATCCTCCCTTCATCTCATCCACCCATCCTCTCATCCTCCCTTCCTCTCATCCTCCCTTCCTCTCATCCTCCTCTCCTCTCATCCTCTCTCCCTCTCATCCGCCCTCCCTCTCATCCTCCCTTCATCTCATCCTCCTTTCCTCTCATCCTCCCTTCCTCTCATCCACCCTTCTCTCTCTCATCCTCTCTACCTCTCATCCTCCCGCCCTCTCATCCGCCCTTCCTCTCGTCCTCCCTTCCTCTCGTCCTCCCCCCCCCTTCTTCCGCCCTCCCCCTCATCCGCCCTTCCTCTCATCCACCCATCCTCTCATCCTCCCTTCCTCTCATCCACCCATCCTCTCATCCTCCCTTCATCTTATCCTCCCTTCCTCTTATCCGCCCTTCCTCCAAACCTCCCTTCCTCTCATCCTCCTCTCCTCTCATCCACCCTTCCTCTCGTCCTCCCTTCCTCTCGTCCGCCCTTCCTCTCATCCGCCCTTCCTCTCATCCTCCCTTCCTCTCATCCGCCCTTCCTCTCATCCGCCCTTCTCTCTCTCATCCTCCCGCCCTTTCATCCGCCCTTCCGCTCGTCCTCCCTTCCTCTCGTCCTCCCTCCCCTTCTTCCGACCTCCCCCTCATCCGCCCTTCCTCTCATCCGCCCATCCTCTCATCCTCCCTTCATCTCATCCTCCTTTCCTCTCATCCTCCCTTCCTCTCATCCGCCCTTCTCTCTCTCATCCTCCCGCCCTTTCATCCGCCCTTCCTCTCGTCCTCCCTTCCTCTCGTCCTCCCTCCCCTTCTTCCGACCTCCCCCTCATCCGCCCTTCCTCTCATCCGCCCATCCTCTCATCCTCCCTTCATCTCATCCTCCTTTCCTCTCATCCTCCCTTCCTCTCATCCGCCCTTCTCTCTCTCATCCTCTCTACCTCTCATCCTCTCTCCCTCTCATCCGCCCTTCCTCTCGTCCTCCCTTCCTCTCGTCCTCCCTCCCCTTCTTCCGACCTCCCCCTCATCCGCCCTTCCTCTCATCCGCCCATCCTCTCATCCTCCCTTCATCTCATCCTCCTTTCCTCTCATCCTCCCTTCCTCTCATCCGCCCTTCTCTCTCTCATCCTCTCTACCTCTCATCCTCTCTCCCTCTCATCCGCCCTTCCTCTCGTCCTCCCTTCCTCTCGTCCTCCCTCCCCTTCTTCCGACCTCCCCTTCATCCGCCCTTCCTCTCATCCGCCCATCCTCTCATCCTCCCTTCATCTCATCCTCCTTTCCTCTCATCCTCCCTTCCTCTCATCCGCCCTTCTCTCTCTCATCCTCCCGCCCTTTCATCCGCCCTTCCTCTCGTCCTCCCTTCCTCTCGTCCTCCCTTCCCTTCTTCCGACCTCCCCCTCATCCGCCCTTCCTCTCATCCGCCCATCCTCTCATCCTCCCTTCATCTCATCCTCCTTTCCTCTCATCCTCCCTTCCTCTCATCCGCCCTTCTCTCTCTCATCCTCTCTACCTCTCATCCTCTCTCCCTCTCATCCGCCCTTCCTCTCGTCCTCCCTTCCTCTCGTCCTCCCTCCCCTTCTTCCGACCTCCCCCTCACCCGCCCTTCCTCTCATCCGCCCATCCTCTCATCCTCCCTTCATCTCATCCTCCTTTCCTCTCATCCTCCCTTCCTCTCATCCGCCCTTCTCTCTCTCATCCTCTCTACCTCTCATCCTCTCTCCCTCTCATCCGCCCTTCCTCTCGTCCTCCCTTCCTCTAGCCTGCAGTGGGGTACTCTATAGCGAGTACAGCCCAATCTAGGGTTTCCTATATGTACTCAACTGCTTGCTAGTGCAACTCCTCTTTCTTGTTCTAAACTTTCTGCTCGTACTTCTGACATACAAAAACCTACAACCTGAAATATAGCCCCGAAATCTTTACAGCGTTTCAAGGCGGGACAACGAAATGATGAAGAAAAGTTCATATGTGATAGCAAAGTATCGAGAGTGACTACGCGCGATAGAATTTAGTGATAGCTTGTGACGAAGGGTGAATGAGAAAAGGAGAAAGCGAATGAATGAACTATGAATGAAGTGAGTACATATAGGAAACCCTAATTGGGTTGTACCCCCTATGGGATACCCCACTATAGCCTACAAAACAGCATAAGCTATATATATGTTCTGACACACCCCCATAGGCAAAGTGGGGGAGAACAAGGGGTCACAAGACCAGTCACGCAAAGCACAGCAAGCTCAGGGTGGATCACAAAGTCACCACACAGTCCGAGCACAACGACAAGGCCACAAGGCCAGTTCACATGCAGGAGTGCACACATATATATATAGAGCTAGACAAGCAAGAGCAGGTATATATATGTGACAGTACAAGCAAGGTCAAGAGGAGAGCAAGTGAGGCAAGACAGGTACAAGACCCAGCTGAGTGCAGAAGCGCTGATGGTCACAAGGCGCAAGTGCCTTGGTGAACACATCAGCAGTGTTGGCCTCAGAGGCCACGTACGCAAGTCGCAACTGACCACGCTGCTGCAGCTCACGAGCAAGAAAGTAACGGAGAGCAATGTGCTTCGTTCTGTGCTCCAAGCGCTGCTCTCGACACAAGGCCAGCATGGCCTTGTTGTCTACGTACAGCACTGGAGGAGAACGAGGCGGCTCTCCAAGGTCAGTCAGCAGGTAGGTGAGCCAGCGAAGCTCCTGTGCAGCCATGGCCCCGGCGTAGATCTCAGCCTCACAACTGGAGCCGAGAACAGAGGACGAGCGTGTAGCCCGCCACGAGACAGAGCCGGAACCAAGACTGAAGGTGTAGCCCTGCGACGACCGCTGCGTAGCCTGGTCGTCAGCCCAAGAAGCGTCCGCGTGCCCAGTGAGGACCACTGGACTCCGCCCTCCAAGCACTAGCCCCATGCCCGACGTACTGCACAAGTAGCGCAACACCCTCTTCGCTGCAGCCATGTGCTCTGGTCGGTGTCTCCCAGGAGCAACATAGCGTGCAAGAATGCTAAGAGGGTATGCAAGGTCAGGTCGTGTGCAGGTCATCAGGTACATGAGGCAACCAACAAGCTCTGGGTACGGGCCACTCGACTCTACGGACTCATCCGAAGGCAGAGCTGAGAGCGAGTGGCGAGTAGACAGAGGAGTGGCCTGAGGCGAGGAGTACGTGAAGCCGAAGCGCTGAAGGACCTGCTGCACCATGTGTGACTGAGTCAAGGTAATGGTGCGGCGTGCTCTGTCCCGAGTGATCTGCAAGCCAAGGTAGCTGCGCAGTTCACCCAGGTCTGTGCACGTGTGTCTCTTCTGCAGCTCGGACTTCACGTAGGCTAGTCCAGCAGTGTCAGCTGTGGCAAAGACCAAGTCGTCGACGTACACGAGGATGTAGAACGGCGGCAAAGAAGTGTCGGTGCGCAGAAACAACGACGGGTCAGCAGTAGAGGGAGCAAACCCAAGAGCCGCAAGCGTAGTCCTCAGTGTGTCGTGCCACTCACGCGGTGCCTGGCGGAGACCGTAGACTGGCCGTCGGAGGCTCCACTGGGTGCCAGGAGGGAAAGTCCCAGTGAAGCCAGGTGGACGGCGCAGCCAGATCTCCTCGTGCAGGCTACCCTGCAAGAAAGCAGTGCTGAAGTCAAGAGAGTGGAGCTCGTAGTCGCGCTGAGCGGCTATGTGCAGTAGCACCCGAAGAGTGGTCATCTTCGGGGTGGGAGAGAAGGTCTGAAAGTAGTCAACTCCCTGCCGCTGACTGAAGCCACGAGCGACGTACCGCGCCTTGAAGACAGGTGGAGAGCCCGGCGGCCGCTTCACCCTGAAGATCCACATGCCACTGACGATGTTCGCCCCAGGAGGGGGAACCGCGTCAACGTAGGTGCCTGTGGACTTCCAGGACGCCATCTCTGCATCCATAGCTGCCTGCCACTGAGAGGAGTAGGGACCCTCTACGGCCTCCGCGTAAGAGCGCGGAGTCGGGATGTCTAGTGCATCCGGGTCTCCCTCAGGGGCAAGTAGTACGGACGCGAGATGAGGTGAAGCAGCAGCCAGACACTGGAACTCCTCCTGCCTGTCCTCAAGGACGTCCGTGCCAAGAGCACACTCACCCCCGACGGACGGAGGACAGACAGACGCAGACTCAGCAACAAGACCGGCAGCGTAGTCTAGACGACAGCGAGCAGCAAAGTCGACGAGCTCAGCAACAAGCGCAGACGCAGCAGTGGACTCAAAAGAGGGGTCAGTGACGACAGTAGCAAGGAGACGTGTGACAGTAGGACTAGCAGCACGAAGAGAGTCGGACCCTGGGTCGGTAAGTGCAGGAAGGGAGGACTCAGGAGGAGAAGGCAAAGGGGCACGCAGAGGAGCAGTGGACGGACGCAAAGACATCCGGTGCGTGCCAGGGACAGGAGGAGGACGCTGACGCGAACCGCGACCACTAGCGCGAGCAGCACGAACAGGCGACGCAGGACGAGACGCAGGCTCACGACGCTCAGCAAGACCTCCAGTGGGACCAGTGTAAGGAGAGGGAGCAGGAAGTGGGGAGGCGGGCTCTAACTGGGACTGTGACTGAACAGGCGGTGGCCACGCTGCAGGAGGAGAAAGACCAAGAACCTGCTGTAGGAGGGGAACGAAGTACGGCCGAGGCCGCGCGGCGACTCCAGACACAGCAGGGACAGCACCCTCAGCAGCAGCACCAGCGCCAACCGCACCTCCAGCGGGAGGACCTCCAGCAGCACCAGCAGCACCCGCAGCAGGACCACCGCTAGGAAGGACAGCAGCAGTCTCAGCACCAACACCCGCAGCAGCTCCAGCTCCAGGCGGACCCGAAGGCCCAGCAGCTCCGGGACCAGCGGCACAAGTACCCTCAGCAGCCGAAGGAGCTCCAGCTCCAGCAATACGTCTCCAGCGGCGAGCAAACCACTCGCGCAGCTCCTGTGGAGAGAGGGGCTCCCGCCGAGGCGAAGCACCCGGAGAACCGCCAGGTCCCGCACCGCCAGACACCACAAGGGGAGGTCCAGTGGCCGCAGGCTCCGCAGCTCCAGGCTCAGCAGCTCCAGACGCAGCACCCCCTGGCTCAGCACCCCCAGTCGCAGCACCCCCAGGCTCAGCACCCCCAGACTCCGCACCCCCAGGCTCAGCACCCCCAGTCGCAGTACCCCCAGGCTCAGCACCCCCAGACTCAGCACCCCCAGGCTCAGCACCCCCAGGCTCAGCACCCACGCGCGTAGCACCCCAAGAGTCAGCACCCCCAGGCTCAGCACCCGCAGCAGGACCAGAGTCACCAGCAACCTCGACCGGCTCGACTGCGTCTACCTGGGACATACCTGAAGGGGCAGGACCCTGAGGGGGAAGGGGGTCTACCGGGGGGGGACCTGGCACAAGGAAGTGCGGTGGCGGGGGGAGGGAAGGAGTGCGGTAGGGGAAGAGGCGGTAGAAGGGGACTGACTCGTCGAACGTGACGTCCTGGGAGGACAGAACACGACGAGAGGAGGGGTGGTAGAACTGCCACCCTGGGGCGTCAGGGGGGAAGCCGAGGAAGACACAGGGAGCAGCACGAGGGGACAGCTTGTCCGCAGACAAGTCGCGGACAAACGCCCGAGATCCCCAGACACGGAACGCAGACGCATCGCCGACCTTCCCCGTCCACAGCAGAGCTGGGGAGGTCTCCGGCCGGGAGACCCTGGGGTGAAGGTTGATCTGATGCGCCGCGTACCGAACCGCAAACGTCCACAGAAAATGGGGGGCAGCCGCATGCATCATGGACGTACGAGCGACGTCCATGACCATGCCAATGCGGCGCTCAGCAATCCCATTTTGCTGTGGAGAGTCCGGAAGTGTAAAGGTCTGGCGGATGCCTCGTGCACGACAGTAGGCTCGCAGAAGGCCAGAGGAGAACTCTCCACCTCGGTCAGAGTGCAGACGCAGAACAGGAAAGTCCGAGCCGAAGCTCCTCCTGAGCTGGAGACGAGCTGCGCGGATCCAGTCGATCAACACCTCAGTGACATCACCCTTGGTGCGCAAGGGGAAGACTGTGGTGTAACGCGAGTAGTCGTCAACCACCAGCAGGAAGTAGCGCTCGTGACCCTGCCCACGGACGCGGGCCGGGCCCCACACGTCCATGTGAAGCGTCTGCAGAGGAGCCTCTGTCGGGGGAAACTGGGAGGAGTGAGGGGCAGCCCGGAGCCGCCCCTCGACACAGGGGACACAGGAAGGTCCGGGTCCCGAAGGAAGGGGAGGGAGAGACCGGGGAAGACCAGAGACAAGGACACGGGAAGCCATGCCCCGAAGACGAGGCAAGGAGGGGTGGCCAAGACGGTGGTGCCACAGGAGAGTCTCCTGAGACAGGCGGCGACACGAGCAGGGGGCAGACTCAGGACCAGACCTGGACGCAGCAGCAAACACCTGACCCGACGCAGCTACCTGGCCAGACGCAGGGACAGGAGGAGACTCAGTGGTCAGGGTGTAGAGACTCGACCCCGGCCGACGCGAAAACGTGGCCAGGTGTCGGCCTGTGCGGGCGTCCGAGCAGTGGGTCACCCGCTGACTCGCAGGAGTAAACTGGTGAACCCCCGCATCCTGCAGGTCAGCACCACTCACCAAGTTCGTCGAGAACGAGGGGAGGTACAGACCAGACAAGGTGCCCGAGGGGGCAGCCGGACACGGGAGGACAGTGGAGAAGTGAGAGAGGACAGGACCCCCAGAGGGGTCAGCCAGGGAGACTGCAACCGGCCGGCCAAGCGGCGTGAGTGTGGTGCGGTCTCGAAAGAAGGAGCGAGAAGCCCCTGAGTCAAGCGTGAAGGTGAGGG